CCCCAAAACCCCAAAACCCCAAAACCCCAAAACCCCAAATTGTGTAAATCTCGTTGAATTATGGGAATAATGGTCAACTCTTCTTCATTCATGTTATGGATAGATAAGTATAAAAGCCCTGAGAAAAAATAGGGTACTAGATCTAAGTGGACATATGATTCCTCACTCCTGTTTTGCGGATTTTTATGGATTTTAGAGGTAAATAAGCTCAGGTTTCACCAACCTTGAAAAGCTCTGCATTTCAGGGTTTAAGTCTCAATGATTCTATAAAACCCAATTATCAAACTTGGTGAAAAATTCCAAAAATGAGATTTTTTTGTCTTATCAACTTCAAACAACCGTGCACTTATAGTCCAAACTCCTCATTAGAAGCATATTATCTGTAGTACACCCGAATATAAAGACCAATCGGAGAGTTATAAGTTATAAAAATCTCACTTGTCAACACCAAATTATGATCTCCTCCAAAAATCCCCAAAACGGGCTATGAGCCGTTAACAAATGGTTGTTCAGCTTACTAGAGCCTTATAATATTCTAATCCTAAACCTCTCTAGCTGTAACAACCCAAAATTAATATTTCTCAAAAAATACTTATATGGAATAAACCCCATTTTTAACCATTTGCAATGAATTCATTTAAACCATGGAAGTGAGCAATTTTAAGCACTCGAAGAATTCGGAATAATTAGTGATAACTCTGGGGGTATATAACCTCCAAATTGATGGCAGACTTCACAGGTAGAGTCCTTAGCCTATCTTCTGTTATTGGCTGATGTAAGGTTTGAAGTCATTTCGTAAAGTTCTCCTTATTTATAAAGACTTTCTAAATTCCAGAGTGGTGAAAAATTGTCCATATCGAGATTATTTCGTGCTCTAAATTTTATAGAGCTTGCCGAGATTAGGATTTAAGACTTAATTATAGAGCACTTTGGGTAATTTTAGGCAATTGAGTAGCTTATAATGCTAATAATAAACTTCTCTAAAGCTTCAAGACTTATTCGGTAATATTGATTATTCAAAACTGGAGGCGATAGATTCACCTGGACATCCCATGTTCCCGCTCTATTGATATTTCCTATACCAAATGGGTTGGTTTTAACCTACAGACTGAAACTAGTGATAGTAACATATCTTAAATAAAGAACTTTCCCATACCAGGCTTCTTAAAAGATTTTTCTAGCAGATTTTTAATTAAAATAGGAGAATTATTGGTGTGAGCTAAGAAGTGCCTCATCCTTGATCATCTGGAGTCCCTTCCTTTCATCCTTAGTCAACTTTTTCCCTTCAAAGACATCTGAGAAGTGATGAATGAGCATCATGAAGTCTGGATTTTTACACAGCCTGATAAGTCTTGCAATGCTGAATTTGTACAAAGTCAGGTATGCTTCGTTGATATCTCTGCCACTTGCTCCATCCGAGGTCATGAGATCACCAAGGGTCAGGATGAGTTCATTTGTGATTACAGCAGGATTTCTGGTCCCAAACTCAGTCTCAAGGTAAATCTTCAAGCATTCGTAGTACAAAGTGTGAGATAAGTTCTTTTTCTTTAAAATATTGAAATGTGTTATGTCATTGAAGTTCTTCCAGTAATAACTCCTTATTTTACGAAGCAGAGATTTAAAGACTACATCTTTCCTCTTCCTAAGACCAGTATTGACCTTCTTCTTAGATTTAGGCTTTTTAAGAGTTTTCTTAGGCTTCTTCAAAGTTTGATCATCTTTAATAGAGTCCATCTCAAAGTGAACCTTAATCTTCTCTTCAGGTTGTTTCTCTTCTTCAGAGTCCTTTTCTAGGTGGTGTCTCGCAATAGACAAGGAGTTGTGGTCTAGCATGATATCTCAGTGCATTTCTTGTTCCCAGATGAAGGATTGACGGTACTCATCTTGATGCCCGATAGCTTCATTGTCAAAAATATGCAATTCTTTGGTACTTGTGGAGATTTCTTGGTCAAAGTTGAAGCGCAAGTCTTTCTCTCCACAATTATTGTGGAGTTCCTCCTCCACCACCTGAGGAGTTTGAGCAACAGTAAGATCATCTGAAAAGAGATTCTGGTTGAATTGGAACTTCATTTCGTTGCTAACTGATAGAAGTGAGATGCTTTTGTCAGACATTTTGTCAAAATAATGAATTTGTAAAAATTCTATTATTATCTCACTAATCTCAATATTTAAATAGGCATATGGGGTTTTGGGGTTTTGGGGTTTTGGGGTTTTGGGG